CTCGGTATGCTTCGTTCAGTTACGTATTGCTGGTATTGCTTCCTTAAATTTATAGGGCGTATCAAAAGTTTGCTGATCTTTTTTAAGGATATATTCTATATAAAAACTTCGTTATCTCAAATGCAACACCCTGTATTTCTTAAAATAAGTCGAAGCAGATTTAAATGCTCTTTCAAACTATATTAGGGTTTCTATACCCATCTGGCTCAGATTTTGAGTAAAAAGCGATTTTTAAATAATGCAATCAAGATGGCTGGTGTCGCCATGGCAATTTTCTAGTGACCGATAGCACAGATTATACAGATTATAATCTTTGTTTTTTCTTTATTGTTTTCGTGGTTCCAATTTTCGGAATCGGGCACTATTTAGGTGACTAGTTTGCGCACATAGCACGCCCACTTATGGCCTCTAAAATTGTGCACAGCGCCTGACCGGCACAGTTATTAGAGAGATATCGGAAAACCGATTAGCGTCATCCAGTATTTACGCGTACCTTATGGTTACGATATACGCGAGTCAATTTTTAACGCAACACCCGCTAATAACGTTACCGCCTGACGTAATTTTCGGATCAATTACACCAAGCGCTCTTTTTCAATAACCTCTGATAACGTTTAAAAATTGCTTAATGGGCATGTGCGGGTATTTGACAACCGGAGCCGACCGGCGATATCTTATTTTAGGTTATGCTTGAATTGTTTTGAATTATTGCTTTAGTTTTTTATTAGGTAATTTGATATTTAAGTAGCTGGGATTAGTTTTAATTAAATAAATATATTTAAAATATGAGTTCCACCTCTTCCAATACTAAAGAACCTATAAAGATGCTTAGGTTTACAGCAGATGACGACTTAGCCCTTCTAAGAGAATTTGTTGCTAACTACTAAATCCACTGGCAGACGTTGAACAATATAGCACTGGAAATAAGCACTTTAGCCTTTAGTTTTAAAATACCTAGTAAACAAAACACTTTCAAAGTTTTTAAATTCCAAGTTAGGTTAAGTTTAAATAACGGACGCGACGCGATCAGAATTCTTTCCGATCCGATAACTATAAATGAGGGTTAACACCACCTCACGTAAAGGAAATAACACCTGGCCTTATTAACGTCCATGACGCTATTCGGTTTAGCGATATCTCTCTATTACGCTGTTTATTGTTATTTTACGGGAGTTTCTTTTTGCGCACAGGATGTTTGACTCGTTTGCACATCGTCATAAAAACAACGTTCGTACCACGAATTAGGGACAAGATTTTTATCTGTATATAGGATACCTAATCTGTGCCGATAGTAACTATTTTCAAATTCGACATTAGTTTATAGACATTATTATTTATAATAGTTTACTTAAATTTACCTACAATAGTTTAATAAGTAAGTATTCATTATTTTATCAAGAAAAATAAAGCAGTATCTGCTGGCGGAACGAATACATATGTTACAAGTGATTTTATTTTGTGAGGAAATTTGCTTCTTGGCATCAAGGGCTTATGCTCAAAGATATTCAAATAGGAATCTTCCTGATAAGCGTTCTTTTGAAAAAGTACTTATCCTATTTCGCAGAGCTGGTAGTATGGTTTATAAAAAAAACTATTAGGCAGAAACCTGTCGTTGGAAGCGAAGAAAATGAATTTGCCGTAATTGGCTCTTTTATATAAAATCCATATATCTACAAATCTACAATCATCGTAAAATAAATAAAAGAACTATTTCTTCGTTTTTCTTGATAGAATAATAAATACATATTAATAAATATTATTTACTAAACTATTGTAGGTAAATTAAATAAAAGTAAACTGGTATAAATTTAAATAAGTCCATAAACTAATTTCAATTTTGAAAATAGCTACTGTCACTAGAAACTTGCAATGACGACACTAGCCCTCTTTGTTGCCATTTTATTGAAAATTTTTTCTCTTTATTCAAAATCTCAGCTAGATAGGTATCGGAAACCCTAATATAATTTGAAAGAGCATTTGAATCTGCTTCGATTTATGTAAAAAAATACAGGGTGTTGTAGTTGAAATAACGAAGTTTTTATATAAATAAATTCTTAAAATAGATCAGCAATTTTTAATAGCCCTGTATAAATTTAAGAAAGCAATAACATTTTTCTGTAAAGTTTATTTCTCTACCTTTAAACTCAGCACAAGAATTAATTCTGAAAAGTAATGTACAGGGTGTTAAAAACCTATTCTATTGTAGCATGCAAATTTAAATATCTTTAAATATCTCAAAAACCAAAGATTTTAAACATATTTAACCTTTATAATAAATACCTTTTTTGGGCACACCCTGTATATTTCAAAATAATTTTAAATTGTGCACATTGTCTCTCCACATACACCCATAAAATATTTTGTTTCTACATCCTTCCGTTTTCGTATAATTCACCGAGGCGAATGAGGTGCGGCACCCTGTATGTTTGTCAATTTTAAATTAAGATTCATCTCATAAATCCATGACAATCTGGCAGTGCTGTCACCATCGCCTGTCACTCAAAGTTGATCACGTGCATCGGAAATTGTTTTGTGATTACCATAGTTATTTATAACTCATGTCCAAATATTTGGATATCTATGACAGGTAGTAAACAAACTCAAAAAAGAGTTCTAAAAATCAAATATTGTCGAAAATCATTTTACATTAGATATTTCTTTGATTCAAGCCACTCTGCTAATGTTTTAAAAACGTGAAAAAAAATAAAAAAAATCGCATTAAATAAATTACCATTCTACATGCCGAACAACAACATGCGAAACAAACGAAAATCGAAAACCAAAAATCAAAATCAAGCCATCTGTCATGCTATCGGGGCAAACCTGCGGCTTGTGCTCGACCACGTGCTGCGTCGACTTCACGAAAACTGCTGCTTGTGCGCAGCTCTTCACGTTCGCCCCTCCGGAAATCGTAAATGCTCTCCTCGAACCTCTTCACATGGTCCTCCACGTGGTAAATGACCGGATCGGGATGATAATTAGGAAGCGACTCGATATCCCGAATCGCAGCGTTCCTTTCCAAGGAATCTTTCGCGAAAACGTGACCCTGAGACCGTTCCAAAGAACCGAACTTCGGGGAAGAGCTTTTCGGTTTGCGTTCTAATGAACCTAACTTCGGACTAAACATACCGGTTTTCTCTAGGTTAGTGTGAGAGTTATACACGCCTTGCGCGTTCCTTTCGAGAGAGTTAAGTTTAGGAGAGGTAGTGGCCTCGGCGTGCCGGCGTTCCAACGAACCCATCTTAGAAGCGGAACCGTCTGTACTAGTACGCGAAGGCGTGCGTTCCAAAGTTCCCGAACCGACGACGGCTGATTTCGGGGGTTCGTCCGGAACCTCCGGATCGAGTTTTTGCAGGTTCTGCATGGGGATGGGGCAGGTTTTGAGGACGGGTTCGGGAATGTCATCTTTTTTATCGAAATCTACCGCTACCGTATTAAATACCGAGGCTGGTACTGTATACATTGCCGGGGTGACGCCTCTGGTCTCGTTCTCCTTCATCAGGTGCGCCAGCACTTCGGGGTTCTGCGCCACAATGTAGGTCTGGGGGACGGGATTGGACATGTCGAGGGAGGCCAGCGACGACGAGTCCAAAGCTGGAAAAAAAATATTTTTGAAGATAACAAATTATTCAGCATGTTCAAGAAGCTTTCAAAAAAACTTTGAAGAAAAAGATTCAGGAAGGAGCATCTCAAAAAACTTTGCACAGTAGAAGATTAATATGGCTGACTTAAATTCGGGTTTATCAGTGCCATTTTGATTTTATTTAATGTGTAAAAATATAATGTAAAGTAGACTCAATAATTAGTTGGTTTTATGTTGTTAATAAATGTTATTAGTAATTAAAATTGCTAAAAATATACATTTCTAATAAAAATAGATATGTTATAATAATTACATATTTAATAACACAAATATCAGATACGCTACTGAAACACGTCAAATTGAAGTATCCTAATTATTTTTGACAACTAGTAAATGAATGCGAGAATGCAAGAAAAAATATAATATATCTCCATAAATATTGTAACGTTTTTCGTCGGTTCCGTGTGGACAGAAAGTCACAATTTATTAAAACACAATTTATTTACCAATAATTAAAAAAAACAATAACGATTAAAAAAAAACTTAAAGAACTATTTATAAGTTATTTACAATTTATCTAACTATTTATCTAAAAGGAATTTATTTTGAATTAGCGCGGCGAATGTAACTGTACGCGTCGACCGGTTGTTTTTCTGTCCTCCTCAGGCCTCAGGCGTCTGCTTATATATGAGTGCAACAGACAATCCAGATTTGTCTCGACAATTCTTATTCGTTCTAGAACGTCGGCGTCGCTGGGCGTATGAGTCATAGGCGAGTGGCCAGGCCTAAAGCTTGATTTTCATGCATCCGTTGTCCGACGATACGATATTAATTTTATTGGTTGAATTTAAAGGCTTCGATTGATTAGAAACGGTTAACCAATCAAAGCCTTTAAATTCAACCAATAAAATTAATATCCAATCATCGTATCGTCGGATAACGGATGCATGAAAATCAAGCTTAAGGCCGAGTTCACACGGTACGGGTCCGCAACAATATCAACACTAACCATCTTTGAATAAGAAGACTAAGGAAGGAGCATAATGCTATCCATGTATTCATGCATGGTGCGGAAAAGCCACCGTAAAGCTCTCTAGGTGTGGGATCCTTGACAGTTAATTTTGACGATTCATTTGACACATTTGAATTTGATTTGAAATTTTGAGGATTTGTCAGTCTTACGGAGCTTATTTTATGTTATTTATTATTTATTCTACTACTGATAGTTGTATAAAGGTAGTAAATCTAGATCGAAATTGTGGCAGAACTTAAATTAACAGTGACACTATCGCGATTTATCGAAAAAGACTCTAAAATAGTTGGTTGTGTAGCGTGCGGTAGATCTCGGCAAAAATTAAGTGAAATAATGGAACAACTTTTCGCTAGTAAGTGACTATATAATATACATACGTGTAGTAAACCGATCATTTATGAAATTCACTTAAATTAACTAAATTATATATTTTTTTTTGCATTTTAGCTTTTATTTATTACTTGTCAAAGATTAGATGTCAAAGAATTTAGATACGTTAATTTGACTTACCTGCTTCAGTAGCGTATCGGATGTTTGTGTTAATAAATACTTATTATAACTTATCTATTTTTATTAGAATTATATATTTTATAACAATTTTAATAACTACCAACATTTATTCACAACGTAAAATAAAACAACAAATTATTGAGTCTACCCTTATCGTCTAATCCTACATCATAGTTTTAGATTTTTTGAATAAAATTAGAACGACACTGATAAACCGGAATTTAAGTCGGCCATATTTGAGGCCCATCGCGGTGTACCTAAGATTTTTGATATGCTCCTTCCTTAGTCTTCTTATTCAAAGCTAACCATAAATAATCTATACAGGGTGAGTCTTAAATAAACGTATATATTTTAGGGCTAGTATATTTCGACCCCAGACGATTGAGTTTTTTTCACAAATTTCTTTTTGTTTGAAAATTTGGAGTTTTTTGAAAAAAAATTTGGATTTTTTAAAAAAATTTAGTTAAAATAACATGGCAACATAGGTAGTAGATTAAATTTACAAGAAAGAAAATCCAGAAAAAATCCAGTGGTTAATACTTAATTAACTCAATACTCAAAATACTAGTAATTCAAAATTTTAGCAAAAAACTGCACAGAGATTTCTTAAGCGGCATAATTAAACACTAAGAAGCAATTTTCGGAAATTTATAGCTTGAGGGGGTGAAATTCCCTATAAAAGCTTTTTAAAATCTATCCTAGAAAATTAATCCTATCCTTTTAAAATCTATCCTGCAATTTTGGGAAGACATACGCGAACAGATATTTGAGTAGGATTAGGCTAAGCTTTTTCAGATTAAAATTATAAAAGGGGGAGCCTTAATTTTTATTGTATTTACAATAAAAATGACTTCAAGTAATTTTTATAGTTTATTCTCCAATTTTGTTTATTTCTCAATACATAACAACTAACAACACCATAACAACAAACTACCCATAATTCTATGCTTCCAGGAAGGAGTTGTCAACCTAGTTTTTGGCGCTATATTTAAATAATTCTTACAAAATAAACTCTTTGTTCATTTTTTAAGTTTAGAGTAAGATGACTATGCCTGTTTGCCTGTTTTTTGCAAGTTCCAATCCTAGATCATATATACTTACGTGGATAAATCAACGCCATAAGTTTAGCATTAAAAAATATGTCTCCAACATCACGACATGCCATTTTCAAACCTTTTTTATTGCACTCATAAAACGTTCAACAGGTTTGTCTTTCTTGAGGACCTTACTTTGGCCCGTGCGCATTAAAGTTGCACGTATTTCTAAAATAATCACAATTTTATACGGTTTAGAAAGTACAAATTATACATTTACTACGTTTTCATGAGTATTGAAATTGATTTGAATCCAATACCAATTCTCCGTTTTCATGAGAAATTTTTAAATCGATTTGAATTCGTTTTGAGATTTGACGTTTCATCTGTTTGTCAATCAGCTAATAGCATGTCAATTTTTAATTGTCATGCTATTAGCTGATGGTTGTTTCGTTTACATATTTTTATTTTGTTTTGGATTTAAAATAAATTTAAATGAATTTCAACTATAGCATGCTGAGCAAACTTGTTTTATACACTGTAAGTTTTAGTACGAAAGAAAATACAGAAAACGGACATGCTTTGCGCATGTCTCAATCTGATCCTAGTACTATTTTCGACATCTCGATCTCGATCCGATCCCAGAAAGAGGCGAATCGACCTTGAGACTCAAAACGATTTTAAATACCTGTTTTCATGGAGATTTCAATACCAAAACTGTTTTCAAAACGATTTCAAAAACCACATGCATACTTTCTGGTTAAATGTATTTTAAGTTCCTGGCTAAATGTATTTTTATATAATTTAATTTTTCTGACAGTAAACATTCAATTTATTGTTCAAATATAAACATTTTACAAATTAAATTTTTAAAATTAATACATATTCAAATTTGGCGTGTGGACGATAGGTCCTTGACAAGGATAGATAGAGTAGAAAGACCGCGTGTGCAGCAAAAAAAGAAGATAAATGGAAGTCGTTGATATGTTTTGACAGTTTCCATAGTTATTTACTTATCCACGTAAGTATATGTATATGATCTAGGGTTCCAATCATAAACAAATGTATAAAACATTCGAATTTTATGCGGACGATGTAGCGGAAAAATCTAGTTCTGTATATATGATAACTACCTTGCATCGGGTGTCTGGTAGGTTTAGGAGGCGGACATGACTCATCCATAGGACCCCACGACATTGCCGCCACCCTCCTAGTCTCGCGCCGTAACGTATCCTGCTGCGCCTGGTTTTCCTCTAGCAGTATTTCCTGGAGGATTTCCTTAATATCCTTGAAACTGGGCCTCTTTGCTAGGCTCGTACGCCCAGCACTGGGACATGAGGGAATAGAGACGGGGAGGACACTTGTCCGGCAGGGGTAGACGCTCGCCGTTGTCGATTTTTCCGATGACGTCGTTGTTCTTGACGCCTTGGAAGGGTTTCACGCCGAGCATCAGGATTTCCCACATACATACTCCTGAAAATAATATGTATATTTGATATCAATTAAACTTTTAGTTACGCAATCGAGGACTCGATTTTTAAATTCATTCGAATTCAAACATATTCGGACATATTCGGCGCCGAACTGACTAAGTGGAATTTAAATTTCCCGATAGGGATTCGGGTGATAGCTCTGCTGTAAAAATATCAAATTGCCACATTCATTTATTTATTTCCTGACATTGTCATTCGTTTTGACACTTTAATTTTGTATTACGAGCATAAATAAATGAAACAAGTTTAGATTGGAAAGCCCGTCAAAATTTTGGATCGCGACTGTTGTACGTGATCTGGCGCTGCTATAGCGGTTGGTAGGAACAACCGCAAACAAAAACAGAAATAATTTTCTCTTCCATATCTATTGCCAAAGTCAGAATCTTCAAAAATTATAAAATCTTTCAAAATCTAAACCGCTCTCATTGAAAAAATTCCGAAAAGTGTTTATAGCGTCCATTTTCAAAGTAATTATTGCTATCTTGTGAGTTTAATTTAAGTTTTATTTAGCACCAAATAGTGTTTACCAATCTAAACTTGTTTCATTTATCTATGTCTTTTTGTTTGTGGCCCTAAAATATAATGTAACTCTTTTATTTTTTCCATCATTAAAGTACCTATTATATTTATATTTACTCCATTTACAAAACTCTGGGTGTATTACGTTGGTCTTGTTTTATTATAATAAACGATGTTCATATGCATGAGTTCGAGACCGGGTCATGGCAAAACTTTTTTATTTTATTTTCGTTTATATTCTGATAGTAAAGTATTAAATATTTGTTTTTTTTAATCATCAGAATTATTTAATACTTTACTATAAACGAAAATAAAATAAAAAAGTTTTTGCCCTGACCTAGTCTCGAACTCTGACTCCTTGCTTGATAGGCGGACCTCTGCGCGTTGAGCTATGGAGACTCGGTCGGTTTATATTCAATACTAGAATTTAAAGGACTAATAAAAATATAGGATCTTCTTTCAATGCGCAGTAGGGAACGCAACGTTTACCGGCAACCAGACGGGCCGCATGGTGTTCCAGAGAGCATAGTAAACGATATATTAAAGAGCCAGCTTTTTTAAAATACTTGTTTTCCCGACGTTGCTACCTCTCGTACTATTATAGTGTGTATAACTATTTGAAATTCCCCAAATCAAACCGGAATTACTTACCAAACATCCACACGTCACTCGCCGTAGTAAACCTCCTAAAATTAATACTCTCCGGACTCATCCACTTAATAGGTAACTTTCCTTTCGAGGCCTTATAGTAACTTTGGTCTTCCCCCATCCACCTCGACAGCCCGAAATCGGCCAATTTAACGCACTTATCCGAACTAACGAGCACATTCCTGGCCGCGATGTCTCTGTGAACGTATTTCTTCGATTCCAGATAGCTGAGCGCGGTGGACAGTTGGTAGGCGTAGGTGAGAAGCGCGGATAGGTCCAGGCGGTGCTTGTTGTTCTGGAGGTAGGCTCGAAGCTCGCCCAATTTGGCTAGTTCCATGACGATCCAGACGGGCGTCTCGGAACAGAAGCCTATCAGTTTGATGATGTGGGGGTGGTCGAAACGTTGCATTATGACTGTAAAGAAAATGTGACCGATAAAAATTATATATATTAATAAACATATAAAACAAGTAAAGTAATCGCAAAACAATTTCCGATGCACGTGATCAACTTTGAGTGTCAAGCTATGGCGACAGCGCTGCCAGATTGTGATGGATTTATGAGATGAATCTTAATGTAAAATTAGGAAACAATTTATTTTTAAAATATTTTTACATTTTATTTTTAATTTAATAATTAATATTTTAGTAATTAATTAATTTGATTTTTATAACTTATTTCACTTATTACATATTGGCAAAAACTAATTCATTATGAAGATTATTCTAAGCGTTATTATGGGTTATTTACTTATAGATGTAACTTACAACACCACAAATGGTAATAAGAAGTAACAGGGACCATTAACCATGATTCTTGGTTTTCGTATACTTTCTACAATATTTGCAGCTGCGCTAAATGCTGTGATGTACTTTTTTACCGTAAGGCAGTCATGCATTAATCTTTAACTTGTATATAGATTTTGTTAAGTCGTGTGTGCACTACTGCTCTCCAATAGAAGAAAAAAAGTCAGGATGAAAGGAAGACTTGAAGGATAACATAAGGACCCCTTAATATTACCATTATTAACATGAAAGGTTAAATTTAGATTTTAATTGGATTTTAGATGCGAAAATACAATATTAGAAATGCTGTTAATTTTGTCAACCCTGTAGTTCTCAAAAGGTTAGACCTATGAAAAAAATGCGTTTAACCAATTTTGTAGAGAATTTTCTGAGCTTCAATTTTCTATATAAGGTATTTTTTCGTAGGTTTCATATTTTCCGAGATATAAGCTAAAAAGTCATGAAAGTGACATTTAACCCCTCCCCCCTCACCTGGAGCTGATCAACTATCTTCGGGGACTTTTAACACATATCAGCCCAAATCTAGAGGAATCATTTAAAACCATTTTCAAAACTGTGGGATTTTTTCCACCGATTTGTCTAATTTGACTGGGCTATTTACAGTTGAAAGAGCCATATGAGATAATACCGGAGTATCTGCAAAAAAATGTTGGAATACCCTAAATACAAAAAATGTATTTTTGGGTGTTCGATTTAAAAAGAAACGAAGAAAAATGCTTTTATAAAAATTTGGCGTAGTACATTGAACACCCTGTATGCTTTAAGATTACGATATTTATAGCAAAGTAAGTCTAAACCATCTAAAGTAAATACCTAATATAGTTTTGATTTCAGGACAGTTCTTGTATTTGTAATATTTTTTTTTAAGAATGGTTGAAAAAAAATATATTTTTTATTTATTAATTAATATCTCTGAAACTATCGAAAAATATTTAAACATTTTTTAAGATAATGTAAAATGGTCTGAAAGGAAGCCAAAAATGCAATAATATGCAGGGGGTTCCATTTAAAAAAATCTTCCCAATTCACTACTATTATTTTGAGCCACCCTGTAGATGGTTAAAATATTTTCCTGAAATACACCATAGTACATACTTACTTTAGGTTTGCATTTAAACAAGATTCCCAAGTTTTTTATTCTAGGGGCTACAGATGTCAGACGCACCTTTGCCGAACCCTGTATGTTCATAGTTCTTATAGTTTAGACATGCAAATATGCGTCTTTGAAACACCCTGTACATTATAATAATTTTTGAAGTGGAGCTTTAAAAATTCATATTTTTACATAGTTGAGCCATAATACTCCCAATCGAATATAGTTCTTTAAAAATTATAACAATCGTTTTTAACTACCTGGAATAATAAAACATAAAAATACATACATGAAAGTATAAATATTTCAAATTGCTGTAAACTCCTAGCTTGTACACACCTACCATATTTGCAATGCCATTTATAATTGTATTTAAAAATAAATTACTACGTCAATAACAATGTGCCTTATTTGGCAAAATATGTACAAATAAACTATTGTGCATGTAATTTCAACTTCCCGTTGTCACGTAAGCTTTCCTATTACAAAATAACCTTCGATTCTAAAATACGAGAGCCTATCGACCAGCGACATCTTAATTCGCCATACAGAAGTATTAATGGGCAATAAAAAACAATTAAACATCTATAGAAAAGCGCACGATTTTTGAATAGGTTCTTTGAATTTATGACAAATCAAAATTTAATGATACCATATCTGGGGTGTATTGTGGGCGCGACGATCATTGTAGTGCTTACAATTGTATTAACATGTTGTTCATTCTAAATTAATAATTATTTCTAAATAAAGAATAATAGATATAAGATACAATTATATGATTTTCAATTCCTATTGTCATTGCTATTGTCTACTATATTGACTATCTATTATAATAATTATAAATATAAAAGCTCAAAGGGTTTTTTGTCCTATCCATCCCGCGGCTACCGCTTCTCCAATTTTGATGATTCTTTTTTTAAATGAAAGGTACATATATTTTTGATATCTCCTTCCTTAATCTTTTTATACAAAGATTAGAACAAATGATCCCCGGTGGCGTAGAAGTACAGGCTCTCGTCTACCAATCTCAAGGTTGTGGGTTCGAATCCTACACCCGGCATTTCATCAGCCGACTATTTTTATTAAAATAAAAATAGTTTGGGTACCTAGGTCGACTCGGCCTTAAATGAGTACTTGGGCTTCACAATCCTGAGGTAATAATAGACGGTTGAAGCGTAGTGCTAGCCACATTACCTTCCTTGTATACCGAACGGCTCTAGCATGACAAGCTGTACCTTGCTACCCTCAAGACGTTGATCGCTATATACGGGAGCTATTATTATTATAGAACAAATATTCTTTTAAATGACATTAGTTTGTTAGCTAGACAAAGCCAATTTCGGAAATTCATCCTCTTAGAGAGTAAAATTATCGAAAAGTTCGTTGTATGAAAATTCCTTCCTATCTGGTCTAGAAGTATGAAATTCTGCCGAAAGGAACCTTAAGGGAAGAACACTTAGAAGAGATTCATAAAATTCACCAACAAAATGAATTTGACAGATTTAATTCCAGTTTACGGTAAATTCTACCGTAAGTTATTTAGTTACTGCACTGTTCAAGTCACCATTAAATGATGTAGATTACCACAAGCAAAATTATATTTATGTCGCTAATAACTCAATAAACTATTTTATACACATGTAATAAAAAATATTGAGTAACATTGAAACTCGATGAACAATCATTTCAATCTTGACCTTTCTTCAGAACAGTGAAATTATTTTTATAACAGTAACGCACTATTTTCTAGTAGGTGTAAAATTAATACATAGTCGTTGTTTTTATAGTTCTTTGTTTACTGTTGATTATGTTATGTAATACAAACTGTTCACTGCTCTTTTATGTTTCTTCTCATTTAATTAGAAACCGGATTGAATAATCGAAATTTTCTTTGTTGTTATTTATTTTTAAAATAATTTCAGCTGAAAAAATCTATTTACAATTTTGTAAATATTTAAGTCAATTCTCTAGTTCAGTCAAGTGACCACTAGTTATCAAGCCGACAACTTCGTCACAGATCGTTTATAACCAGCCTGCAAACTTAGGATCGTTTGCATTGAAATATGTGTACCTCATATTAACTTTATTGATTAACTTAATTATGATTCACATTTTCCTATTAACATGGTAAATGAGTTGTTAACTTGATTATTGGTAATCGAGTTTCGCCCAAGGTATGGTTTGGTTGAACTGTGTTCCTGTCTTTACCATATTACTGTGAGAATATTATTTGTATAATGTTTTGTATTATCTTTTGTTTGTTTGTTTGTGTACCTTGTTTGTTTACTTTGTTTGTTTAGTTTACCTTTGTCTACAAATTGAAAAAATTTTTGACAATAAGGGCATTTATTTATTTATTTATTAGTATAATAGGATATGATTTACTTTTTCTCTTCCGATGAAGTCTCTTTAAAAGTAAGTTACTTGGACAATTGCGCAGATGTTTATATCCAAAAGATCCAAACTCCAACCGTGGAAGGGTGTGTACCCTCGGAGCAAGAACTGTTGTCAGGAGGATGGGAAATACCCTGTCCTCTCTACAACAGGGGTATGATGGGTTATAGACGCAGTTCAAGTTGCTGACAGACAAGGGCTGATGGGAGTTGGTAGATGGCCAAAGAAGATAAAAGGATAAAAGTGAGTTATTGAGTATAGAACAAGAATGAGGAGCTAAGTAGGATACAATAAAAAATCATATACACAATTGTTGGAAAACAGCATTAATAATAATTAATAAATGGGTGTTTTAAATATAAAATAGAAAACAAATTTCTTGCAATAGAGGTATATAATAAAATTATATAAGGATTCTTGCCACTTAACTGCTAATATAGAAATTTAATTCTACGCTGTGTTTGTCATAATGCCATCCTTTTACTATTGATAGTTGCGCCTCGGTGATACGAAAGTACTACCATTGCACGCAGGCCGCTATCTCCCGTTCGGGACTTAATATCTAACCGATACTTTCCGACAAGTCGGAATTAACTATCTCTGCGCTGTGGTTGTCATTTTGTGGATCTCCCAAGCTCACCTGATGATGGAGTAGGGCTCCGAAACCGGTAGTGAGAGCAGGTTGATCCGCATTATGACAAACACAGCGTAGAATTAAATTTCTATATTAGCAGTTAAGTGGCAAGAATCCTTATATAATTTTATTTAAATATAAAGCTTCATTTATATTGCTCGTTGGAAAAACAACAGTGCCAGATTATTTGAGTCTATCGGAGACGGTTGTTTTTTGATTATATTTTAAAAGACGCTTATTTAACAAAACAGCATCACAAATTAGTCCGGCTCCAACAATCGACCGAGCAAGCATATCGAATAATATCTCTGTATCGGGATTTGAATTTCAATAATAAGTTTAGTTCTTTTGTAATAGTTTTATAACATTATAAAATAAAGCATTTTTTGAGTGTTCTCATTGTCAATTATTACAACAACAATATGGTACTTACAAGCTTCTTCTAAAAACTTCTCAGTAGTGTCGGCATCTCCTTTGCACGTTTTGACGGCTACGGGAACACTGTGTCCATCTTTGGTACGAACGAGGCCTTTGTGGACGTCTCCAAATTGACCTTCTCCTAAAATTTCTCCCAATTCTATTTGGTTACGATCCAGTTCGTAATCCTTCACTGAAACAAATATAGGTCATCATGACAAAAAGATTGTTAAAAAAATATAGTTTATAAACCTGTTTTTATTTGTTGCCAATAACCGGCAAAATTTAGTTATAATTGTTCCAAAAAAGTGTTCTATTGTTTAGTGATTCAGGCGTAGTTTTTAACACAAATACAGGGTGTGCCAATATTCCGTGGACATAAAGCTCCTACGCACTTTTGGAATAAACACATTTAACAAAAAAAAAAACATATTTTTTCAGACGTTTTAAGAACCGTTATTCCGATTTGAATGAGATTTTAGGTGTCTATGTTTTGCTGCTTTAACATTTGAGTTTCACAAAAATCAAGAAAAAGTAAGGGTACAAACTACCCTCACCCGAATATAAATATTAGTATAAATATTTTCCAACTCCACCAACGATCGATTTTTTTTTTTTCGTAAAATAGTCCTTCTAGTATTTACTACATTTTTTGTCCCTTGTAAAAAAAACGCTGCTGCGCATACTTTTTGAGGGAAGAAATTATTTTCCAAAGCTGACTTCCAAAAAATGTTTTTTCTCACATCAAGCTATGGAGACGCATAAAATCTATTATGCTTTAATAATCTACTTCCCAAAAATATGGAATTTTATTATTTTACAAATTATAATTGACAATAAGCTTCATAAAAAGCATAAAAAAATAATAAATTTTAAATTTATTAACGTTTTTCATTTTCAAAACTGTGGGAATTTTTTCCACCGATGGGCATTTTTTAAAGTAATTTGACTGGGGTATTAGCAAAATATCATTACACCAAAATCTCATTAAATTCTAAATGAAATTTTGGCAAAAATGTTTAAATTTGTTGAATAAATTCAGATATCGAGTAGCTCTTCATTTCACTTTATAGAGCAAATGATTGTAACAGATATTTTATTTAGATTAAAGCTGCAAAAATTAGTTTAAACCGAATTTTATTATCGCTATGTTGGTCACATCGCGCCGTTTTCAGCAAGGTTGTCGTCTATTATTTGACAATTATCCTAATGCCATTAGTCATTATTTAGTATAATATCGTGTTGTTGCTAAATCTTTGTGAGTAATTCTCGTTTTTTGCCTATTTTCATAGTCTTTTTTTTTAAATTTGTACTTTTAAGCACAAACAGTTCTTTTAAGAACTAAATTTTCGAGTTTTTGTATTGCATTTCTTGAAATTGTGTGTTGAAAATATGCTGAAGCATTTAAACAGTTGAAGCAAAGAGTTTGTAGCTTCCCTGATAAACTATTTTGAACGAGAACGTGACAAAAAAGGTCCTTTATTACCCTTGACTGCAGTTAAAGAAGTAAGTTTGATTGATAAGCACATTACACCACTTTCGAAATTATTTCTACGTAAGTTTTTATTAAATTCTGTGATTCTTAGTTTGTGCATTAATAACACCCTCTTACTTATTACCACTTATGGCGTTGTAAGATGTACATCAATAAATAAATAAATAACCCTTAATAACGCTTAGAATAATCTTCATAATGGACTAGTTTTTGCCAATATGTAATAAGTAAAATGAGCTATAAAACAAATAAACCAATTAATCACTAAAATACTAGTAATTAAATAAAACGTAAAAATCTTTAAAAATGATATAATAAATATATTTTTTTCACTTTTTCAAACCAAATCACAATCTGGCAGCGCTGTCGCCATCGGGTTCAGCGTTGTCACTCAAAGTTGATCACGTGCATCGGAAATTGTTTTGCGATTACCATAGTCGTTCTATGTCCACAGAATATTGGGTTACACTGTATATTGTTGAATTTTAGTGCATATTTTGTTAGATATGTCCCCAGAAGAATATACTATGACCATATTTTAAGCTATTTTAAGCATTTTACGATTCTGTAATATGATAACGCCAACTAATTCCGAAATTCGAAGGCAATTAGAGCCTGTCGCACGAAACTTAAATTACGACTGCACAGCGCCTGTTCCGCGCTGTTTGTTCATTCCAAAAATATTCCATTTCATGTCATGGGAAAATAAATTAAAATGACGCAGTATTAAAATGTAATGTGCGGTTTCAAATATACCAACTTAAGTTTGTAGTTTTATATTTACCATACCTTTTATGTTCTTTTTGAAGTGTTTACATGTATGTTATTAATTGACATAGAATATGCATAGAATGAAAGAGACAAACTGGGTTTATTAAAAATACTGTTTGTAGATAATGCTTATAACTTTTTGTTGGGTTTATTTGTATAAACTTTTAAAAATATCGCAAAATTAAACCAAGTTTTTAATGAAAATATCTTCTTTATGCAATAGATATTTTCGATACAAGTGAGTTAACAGCATCATGAAGATATGTGTAACCACACAAGTATCTTAATGGAGTTAACTCGCGTGTATTGTACAATATTTTATCTACGTCTAACTATAAAAACACACAATACATTTTAAAAATGATTGTACTTAACTATATACCTCTAAAAATCAATTACCTTAATACCTTTGTTCAAATAACACCATGCATGGCAATGTCAATATGACAGTAAATAATATTGATGTCACTAGTTTAAAAAATGAGCGATTCGGAAAGTATTCCCTCTGACATTGAAGAAGAGGCATTCAGAGCCATTTTTGGATTGCTTCCAGCAAGATCGAAACAGAAGTATGAATATACCTACATACTCTAACTATGAAAAATGGTGCACCGAAAAAAAGTACACAACTATGGAAATGAAAAGGTACTCATAACATATTTTTCCAATTTAGTGCAAAATAAATGTTTCACAAAATATTTTTCCTCTTTGGTAGTCATCTAAACAAGGAGTGCGGTAATGAAAATGCGTGAGTTAAGATGCTTTTAACTCACTCAAAATGAGTGAGTTAAGAGCTTCTTAACTCACTGACGTAGATAAAATACACTTTTTATAGTCCAGTAAATGAAGGTTGAAACCACGGCTTAATAGGTCGACCGGGACTTTTCAGGCGGATTGTGTACTGTTTGGGGAGCAGTTTTAGGGAAAAAAACACCGTACCCGGTCAGCTTTGACCGAAAAAATAATCCCAAATAGCCGAAAAATCAGTTTTTTCGCAAATATCTGTCAAAGTATACAATTTACAAAATTTTTCTTGGAATAAAAAATGAAGTTTAGGTAATTATCTACAAGAATTGTCCTTTTCATTTTTACGTAAAATTGGTAGTTTCTGAGATATTACGCCTCGATAACGTCGTATAAATTTACGACTTTTACACCCTGCAGCTACGACACCAAGCAGAATCGGACCTATCTTGATATAAAAAATTCTACGTGAGGAATCTCCCCACATGTTTTTTGAAACACCCTGTATAATTCTAAAAAGTAAAAGCAAAAAATCGTATTTTTTTAAATTTTCAAAGTAAAATAACTCGGTTATTTTGGGCTTATTTGAAAAACGGCAAAGAGAAAATACGTTTCTTTTCTCAAGATCTACCAGCCCCGGAAATATTTGCACTTATTTAAGACTCACCCTGTATAAGCAGTACGTAACATTTACCCAATTTTTATAACACAAATTTTTAATTACCTGCTGGTACTGAATAATCTCCTTCTTCGACAATTTCAGCGTAATCTTCCGACAGCATCGTACCAGTCGAATTCACGCATGTCTTGTCTTTGCCGCTTCTGTTTTTGACTTGCGCAGAATCTAAAATAATAATAAAAACCAGTTGAAATATTATATATTTATAAAATATGTTATTGTTATTACTAAACTAAACAATTAAACAGGAAGTGACCAAAACTAATTGAAAACATCAATCAATCCTGATTTATGTCATATACATACTCGTATACTAACATACCAAATTTCGTTATTTATCTGAAAGAAATAAATAAGTAATAGGGGTGAGGGGGATGAGTCACTTTTGAAAAACACCCGGTATATCCGCTTCTTGAGCATTATAGCTTCAAAACTGACCTACTTTAGGTTTTCCGGTGCTTTTAATGGAACAGATAACGCCAAACTATTTGTTGAAACTCACACACAATCCATGTATTCGTATTGTAGGTTATTAGTTCTATCATTAGACTTCTCAGTAAATGTAGGTGTTGATTTATATGAGAACATAACTATTTATTACGAATAATTTTCTAAACTCTACACCATTCCTATGAATAATAAATAACTTGAAAGTGTATTTCTACATTTCTTCCCTCTTCCATTTCCCTCCTTCGGTTTTCCTTAATTCTGGCCCCATTTAATTAAGCAAATTATTCTTGTAATATCTTTATCAAATACTTATCTAAGATCAACAAAAATAAACAAGAAGATTAACAATAATAATAATTAAAGATTTTAATACATTTATTTGTTGAAGGTAAAAATGCTAGACTTCTTTGCTTAAAACCTACATTCTGGCGTTTTGAAAAAGCGACGAATTTGTGATATTTTGATATGTCAGTCTTTTCCCTTAATTCTAGCATTGTCCGTATCATGCTGTACGTAGCCCCAAGAGTAGATGGCTTTTTCTGCCTTGCCATGTCGCTAAAATATGCCATCAAGACTGTCTCCGAAGCAATATTCTTAAGCTCCGCGTGCACTGAAGGGGTATCGGCGAGAGCGAGCGGCGCGAGCGGCACGACCTGTCGGAAAGTCGATTGTAGCCGCGCACTGGAGTCGCACGATCGACGGTCGAGAGCACGTCACCTGTATAAATTTGAGCATAGACGAGGAGAAGTTTATTCAAATTTAGTCAAATTCATTCGGCATTTCAAAAAATTATAAAGTATTATACTATTTATATTTTTATGCAACTTTTTATATTTTATGTTTTATGATGGAAATTAATATTATTTAGATCCTAACCAAACACACATTAATATATTTAGATCTTAACAAACCACATAAAATTAGTGAAATAGAGTGGAAGATGGGGATAAAATATACTACATGACTCTTGGCTTGACCGATTTTAACAAATTTGGTATCATTCAAAAGGGTTAAATTTGTTCTTTAAAAACAAAGCTAGATATGAAAAATAGTGAAATAAAACTTCTATTTATAGTTTTTTAATCTAAATAAAATCTTTGTTTTAAGTCAGTAGTAAATAAAACGAAACTTGTGTTTACATTTTGTTTAATGATTGACGTTTCGACCAATTTTAATTCGGTCTTCTTCAGAATCTATAATATACGTATAAAATATGTTCTACGTTTGTGATAAGAAAAATTATATATTAAACACATTGTTAATGATAAAATAGTATTGTATATTATAGATTCTGAAGAAGACCGAATTAAAATGGTCGAAACGTCAATCATTAAACAAAATGTAAACAAAAGTTTCGTTTTGTTTACTACTGACTTAAAACCAAGATTTTAAAACCTTAAAATATAATAAAAAAGTCAAAGAAAATTAAAAAAAGAAAAAATATATAGTTTTTATTTTATAGTACCGTATGATCATGATCGAAAAGAAATTTTGTAGAGCAGTAAATTTCTTACAAAACCATGAGTTGCGCTTATCATACTGATTTTTTGTTAACGAGTTATCAGATTCATAAGAAAAAAGAAATCTGCCTTAAAATAATCAAACTTCAACCTTTAATAACTTTCGAACGGTGAGGTTTACAAAAAAATTGTAAGATATTTTTTGTGGAGAATTCAATTTCCTACAAATAAATATTTAGATATACTTTTTCCAAATAGTAGATACCGAGATATGAATTTTTCTTTCTAATATTAAGGAAAAAAATAGAAAACTGAAAGGCGGAGAACCTTCCTATTAAAATTAAGAGCTCATACTTGGAGATAATTTTTTGAGGTGTCTACCAACCTTTTTTTCAGAGCATAAAGTGAAAAAAATAGTCCATTTTTTTGACTCACCCTAATAATCATTCAAATAAACCAATAAAATTCATTAAAAACAACTACACAAGACGCTAACCTGGATTTCTCCGTCGACAAAAACATCAAATAAACAATTCTAATTTAAATAATACTCCTACCTTTCTTATTCCAGATCGAAGCCTCACTTCCCGAATGCAGCCTACAATACCCATCGATCAAATCCGCCAAACTCTCCGCAACGTCCACGCTGGGACACGTAAAAAACAACACCTCGTGCGTACTGGCCACCTTCAGTTGCAACGTGGCCTTCGAATGCTCCTCGCAATCGCTGACCAGTGTCTGTATTGCTTGGATCTGGTTGAAATCGATCTTCTTGGTGGGCGACGCTTGTATCCCAATATGCGGCCCAATCACCAACTCCACAGGCACGGTAAAACTACTTCCGTAATCCACTTCAAACCTCTCCTGGTCGAAGTTTGTGTGGTGTTTCAACGTTTCCATGTACTGGAACATGCAGTCGAATTCGCTCATGTGTACGTTCTTTTTGAAGTGGGCCTGGATGCTTTTCTTGAGAGATTTTGATTTGATTTTTTCTAGCAAAGTGCCGGGTATGAATTTTTGCAAGCCAACTTCTCGTTCGATGTACTCGAGGCTGAATTTCTTCTCCAAACCGCTGGGGGGCGTATCTTTTAGGTATTTTCGTATTTCTAGACAGCACAGTTGCACAGCCACGTCTTGGTCGACTTTTTTGTGTAGATCGGAATGATAATCGCTCCTGACCTGGAAAAAGGATAACCCTTGATTAAGAGGGACGATTGAGACCATTGAATAAAAGTACTCTCTTTCAATTTCTTTAATATTCATAAATTAAAAAGGGGAGCTACGCAATAGGTTATTGCAACAAACTTTTTATGTCAATTTTGTTTGACTCGTTAATTAATTTGAATTTTTGATTTTAATTTGAGTTTGGTACCCTTCTATGTTTATTTTATGATTAGCTTTATGCAAAACGTATAAATCTGGAAATATATTGTCAGGACAGAGTCAAGACTTGAATTACAGTGGGATTATTACTAATATGGGACAGGTTCAAAAATAGTTACATATGCGGCATACCATCATCCTCAGATTTAAAACACGAATAATAATGACGTTTCACCGTTGCTTGAAAGAATTGGTAAGATACGCAATCTAATGGGCACATTCGTGACAAGACTGATTTGATTTCCCCTTACGTCTCAAGTGCTGTATGGTGGAGCCCCTACTCATTCTGCGGCCAACGCATTAAACACTCATTTTCTCTAATTCGGCTAGCGAAGACATATCGAAGACGGTGTGGAACTGAAAGCGACAGTGTTGCCATATTAAAATGTACAATATCTGTGATACGTTTGACGAAAATATCTTTGGATGAAAAATCCGCGTTTATGTACTGAAAATTTATTCGTGTTAAATACATATAGAATAAACAACAAAAATAAAAATTCTTTTATAGGTACTGAATATTTCGTATGATCGAAAAAAGTAGTTTAGTTGGCTTGGAAATGTCGACTATTGACATTTACCATAATTTTTTACTTAGAAAATAACGGCAATCTTCATTTCCAAGCCAACTCTAACGCCGTTCTCTGTTTAATCATATACTGTTATATTAAATTGGTTAATATAGGAAATCCTTATTAACGTACTGTACCCAAAATCCGTAAATCTACGGATTAAATCTGCAGTTTTGGCAACACTGTCTCCAGTAACCACCCACTCTGTCAGCTGAAAGAAGAACTACGATACAGTATTCTTTATCCGCTGCGCTGTAAACGACTATTAGCGTGCAGCGGCGCAGAGCTAAATTAAATTTCGGGCATGTTTTGTGTCACAAAATCGCCCATAAGGTTGGGCATCTTGTTATTTCTTTAATCAACAGTTTCACTAATAAAAACATAATTTTACTAATCTGGTCACCGAAACTGCGTGATGGTCTGGATTTTAGCGTGTAAAACAGTGATATGGACAGCATGGAAAATCATGGAAAAGTTGGGTTGGTACATTTCTTCTATGCGGTATTGCCGGGTTTTGCATCAAAATTTCAAACCGCATAAGTACGCGTTTATGAAAAATGTTCCATCTAGGGTTGGAACTTTATTTTTCACAATTAGTTGCTCATTTTACTACAGCTGTAATTTATTATATTTAGCTTAGATATAAATATTATCTTTATTTTAGTAGTATGCACGAAAGTTTATTTTTTTATTTTTAAAATAGTTTATTTTCTTCTACACACATTTTTCTACAAACGTAAAAACCGGCAACACTATATGCCGCTTTTTATTTTGTCTTTCTTTCTCTCAACCTATAATATTACCTCTAATCTATATTTATCTCTGTCGCATGTATTGAAATACAGACCAATCTATCTGTGTACTTACCTGATCATAGTAGTAATGAAAAGTGACGTTGTCCTTATCAAAGAGCTTTCGAAGACTAGTTGGAAGATACCTAATTCTAAGTTCGTACCGCCATTCGGCATTGGGGTGCTTCCGCAAGTATTTGTCGTGTACTTGTTGCATGGTAAGGTCTTGGTGTAGCCAATATATCTGCAAAAATATATAGATTAGAAGTATTTTGGTTTTATTTGATCCATATAATTTAATTTTTTCTTCTTCTGTCGGGTATAACTTAGAAGGTGCGACAAAATTCAATTCCGAGCCTTCTAGTCTTCCAATTACGTTTTGTTTATAAACATTTATATCTACAGGGTGGTCCAAATTGTATTTCGAATACTTCAGCAGCATATTCTACAGAAAAAAATAAGTAGGTAAAAAAGTTCGCATAAATGTATGTCCTAAAATGCTTAGTTTCGGAGATACAGGGTGTAAAAGTTTCATTTTATTCAATTATTTCGATTTTTTCCAAATAATTTATGAAGTAACGTAAATATTTGGATGAAAATTGGTGTCTGGGAATTTTTTGACATGAGAAATTTGATTTTGATGTCAATACGACTGATACTTGTAGAGGGCGCCACCTACATATTTTTTAACTGGTTTAAAGTGTATACTCTGTTTTTTTTCTCAGGTAAGATTTCGACAGACGATGACAGAAGAAAAGCGATGACGTCCCATACCAATCTATTTATTTTACTAAAAAAAGTTTCTAATAATTTTTAAGTTAACTATGGATGGGTTTAAATATAAATTCGTCATGCGTTGTCACTTGTTGTTTTTAACCAGTTTTATTGGTTTATTTCAAAAATGACAGATCGTATTTCAATCTTATTGGTTTGACGGAACGATGAACGACAAACGGACGCCGATGCGTATGAACTCGCCTTTAGATTTTTGACATTTGTCAAAGTCTTGCCAAATTATAGGTTATAATTTTGTGACAACTTTTGTCAAATACCCTGCGTTTTGGAAGATGGTGCATTGTGATTCGTGTTATTACGTGTGTTTTGTGTCTTTTGAAGTCAAGTGGAGGAAAAATCGAGTGAAAATTAACTGTAGAACCCAGAGCACAGATTATGGTTAATACTCGCTGCCCAGGCAGAAAGTCTTATACAGATACACCAATAAAGTTACTATCAATAAAGTTCGTATACCATCTCGTCGTAGATAAGTGCATCTCGTATATGGTAGAAGGACCATACTAAACCCATACTAAAAACTGGAGTAGCTAGCTGTAAAATATCAGTTGTAAAATTTTAGTACTGCAGAAAAATAATGTCAAAAGGTACTGGTTAAAAAAAATTAAGATTAAAGTTAATTAATTAACCTGTGAGGTGTAAAATTTGGTAAGTGTTATTATTAATAAAATAGTTTGTTTTATTTATGTTGTTTTATTTATTCCTGCGGAATATTACAAATTTGTATTTGTACATAAGTTATATTATCATATATCATAAAGCTTGAAAGTAAGAAATAGTTCTTTTTATATTTTTTGGTATGTGGTGTCTTGTTTTTGTTTGTTTTGTATTAGCACATACCGTTTTTAATTAAATAAAATAACTCGATTACATTTTTTCAGTTTTATGCAGTTTCACAATATTTTGAAGTTACTTGTCAGTCAAATTTTAAATACATATATTAATTTCCTGCTATGCGTTCCAGTTGTACCAACTTATTTCTTTGTAAAATAAAATAAACTACTTTGAAATTAAAATGACAGACACATCTATCACTGTCAAGGATCTTCTCGTTGGACAGACTATAATAACTTTTCGTCCGTACCTGTATGAAACTACTGAGTAAAAAAATATACATTTACGACACTTTTCATGTAAAAAAAGGTCTATTGGGAAAAATCTTTACGGGTGATAGTTTTCGAGATATTTGGAAACGATTATCAATACCTGTCATCAATGACATAAATTAAACATGTTGACTAAATAGTTATTAGACTGTGAAATCATAAATTTGAAATGTTTTTGTGCCAAAAGTTCAACAGAAACTGTTTTATCATCATTTCTTCACAGAACAATTTATGGTTAATTTAAAAAAATAAAAATTTCCGGAATTTATTGACATCAAAATCAAATTTCTCATATCAAAAAACTCCTAAACACCAATTTTCGTCCAAATATTAACGTTACTTCAGAAATTATTTAGAAAAAATCGAAATAAAAATGAAACTTCTACACCCTGTATCTCGGAAACTAAGCCATTTTAGGACGTACATTTATACAAACTTTTTTACTTATTTTTATCTGCAAAATATACTGCCGAAGTTTCCGGAATACAGATCGGACCTGCCTGTATAGTAATAATGTTTAAAATACAAGTTATGAATAAAAACAATAAAAATAAAGCAATTTTCTCTTATTGAGTAATTTTAACGATCTGTGTTAAATCTAAATTTAACACAAACATATTAGACAACAAAACGACTAGAGTTAAAATTCAGTCAACAGGTCAAGGATATTTCTTTCACTATAAACAAACAGTTGATAGAATTTTATGATCGCCATAATGTTATGAAAAAAATCAATTATAACGACGCTATTTATAGAAAAAAATGTTTTGTGAATATACACTATATAAGTTTATATTAGTATGAACTTACGTCGTCTGATGGGGGTCTGGTAAGCCTCATCGCATACAGCCCTTTGTCGCGTACTCCTGATGACAACCTCCCCGTTACGGTGGATATAATGCCCTTAATATCCGTACTGTCTCCATATCGTACCACATTGAAGCCACCGTTTGGTAAATGCACCTTAAAATTAGAAAGAATATACGATAAAATACATTTTCTCCTCGCAAAACTATACTACTTCTTTGTCCTTACTTTAAGAAACTGTTTAGTCATACTAATTACTAATGAAAAAAAATAACCTCAAAATAAACTATTGTAGGTATTATTTTGAATTATATCAGTATAATTATTATCTACCTTCTTATCTCCTAAATATGTTTAAATTCCTGCTATCATAAAATAGAGTTATTTTTAAACAAATTCAATAAACAATGTTTCATTTTAATTCAAAGTGTTTTGTCTTCCATTGTCATTATTTTGCTTTGAAGTCAGAAAATTTTGTTAACTATAAGAATAAGAATTTGAAATTTAGCCCATCTGGTTTATTTATACCTGCATGTCTATGTAAGCCCCTTGTGGTAGAATATCATAGTCTAAGAGCTAGCAACGTTTTCGAGAAATTTTAAGACGTCTGACTCTTTGATATATCTTTTACTATGCTCTCTGGAACAGCATGCGGCCCGTCTAGCTACCGATACCCGTTGCGTTCACTACTGCGGATCGGAAGAAGATCCTATATTTTTTATTAATTTAGTCCTATAAATTCTAGTATTGAATATAAATCGAACATGTCTCCATAGCACTGTGCGTAGAGTTTCCGACCACGAACCGATGATTCAGAGTTCGAATTCGGGTAAGGGCAAAGACTTTTTTATTTTATTTTTGTTTATATTCTGATAGTAAAGTATTAAATAATTCTGGTAATTAAAAAAAAAAACAAATAGGTATTTAATACTTTACCATCAGAATATAAACGAAAATAAAATAAAAAATTCACAGTCCTTTACAAAGATGCAACCGGGGGGGGGCATTGAAAATGATGAATAAAAACGTAAAAATATGATTAGTGTTAATATGAGTGTATTACATACATATGTTTAAATAACGAACGTTATGGATGAATGTTAAATAACGAAGTTTATGGCGCTCTTCTGTGACGGCTTTTATGTCTTAATAATTATATATAGGGTGTTTTAGAACTCGAACCAAAGTCGAAATTTTGCAAAATCTCAAAAAGAAAATCTCTCGAAAATAATAAATAGTAAAATGACATTTACCCTCTATGGATAGAACTCCTACCTATGGTCCCATATAAACTGTATACTAAAATAAATATCTTTGACATATAATTGTCGTTTTTCTTGATATACTCCCTGATTTTATTTTATTTTTCCAGAGCACTAATACTCTCTTTTATGTTATTTTTTTATTCCTAGAAGGATGATTTGAAGAAGAAATAATCTGTCTATATTATTGATGTCACTAAATAAACCCTTGTATAATATATTATACTTCTAGATGTTATAGTAATGCATTTTCGTACAGCAAACTTTCATTCCTATTCTACTCCCTAAGGGTATGAATTTCATAAATTCCTATGTCCAAATAATTAACTCATGTCTTTTAAATGATCCTTTGTGCAAATTTTTATGTGTATAATCCAGAGGTCACGAAGGTTTATATAATGTTTTACTAACTTTACCCATTTGGTTGATGAATTTCAAAAATCTCTTCTTATTCTTCTTTCTGTAGAATTTCATTTCTTCTAGTAAACGATTTTCATACAACAAATCGTTCGACATAATTTTACACTCTAAGAGGATGAATTTTCTAAAATCGCTTTGCATAACTAATTCACTAATCACTAATGTCCTGTAAACGAACCTTTGTGCTAATATTGATGTATCTAAAGCTAGTGGTATGAACTGACCCCTAAAATATCTAAAAACTTGATATATAATCTCTATAATCTAACTGACAAACCATTGACAATGACAAATAATTGATTTCTGGAGGTATTTTGTGTAGGTGTTTTTCAGGTATGTTTTAATATTTATTCGTTTTACATAAAGAAATACCGATTAAACGATATAATAATACTTCATAACAAATCTAGACATATATACCTTTCATTTAAAAAAAAAGAATCATCAAGATTGGTGAGGCGGGTTTCGGCGGGATGGATGTAACAAAAAAATATATAAAAAAGAGCTTTTATATATGTATCCTACTTTCGGTATCACAAGCTGAATTTTTCAGGGAAGGAAGTACAAAATACGTGATATGGGGACCCTTATTCCAAAAGTAGTACAAAATTAGACTGGGAAAAAGGGCACTATCATCAAAAATCGATATATTCAATACCACTGTATAGAGAAAAACAAATACTTATTTTTTGGATCCAGTACAAAATAAAGTCTTCAGTAGGGAGTAATTTTTTATAATTATTTACAAAAAAACATTTCCATTAGCGCTTATGACCGAAAAAAACTTTAAACATGAATAACTCATTTCAATCATGCGAAAATTTGGTTTAAAAATGGACTTTTTAAATATAACTTTCATTTAACGAAAAACAGAAGCCTAAATGAAAAAAAGAAACAATTTATAAGTTTTCGCTTATGTCTTGGACAAGGTAACAAAGCAAACCCCATATTTTTTGCTTTTAAACTAATAAAGATATATCAATAAACAATTAGCGATGTCCGACTGCCGCCGCCGCGCCTAGATTTCCTATACGTATACGCGTGATGACGTCATGGTGTGGCAAATGTAGCATTTTAATTCGATTTGGGCTCCCTTATATAGGATAACAGAAACATTTTCAATGTTAAAAGTCTTTGCCCTGACCCGGATTCGAACTCTGAATCATCGGTTTGTGGTCGGAAATTCTACGCACTGCGCTATGGAGACATGTTCGATTTATATTCAATACTAGAATTTAAGGGACTAATAAAAATATAGAATCTTCTTTCAATGCGCAGTAGGGAAAGCAACGTATACCGGCAGCCAGACGGGCCGCATGCTGTTCTAGAGAGCATACTAAAAGATCTATCAAAGACCAGACCTCTTAAAATACTTGTTTTTCCGACGTTGCTAGATCTCGTACTATCATGTGTAAATTATTTTTTACGATTGAGTAACTACCGCCCAATGTATAAATTGTGTAGATTAGTTTTACTATCTACTTGATAACGAAGAGTGAATAAACTATCTGAAACGTCGTGGTTTGTCGTAAGTTGTCAAATGTTATGAAAACAAAAACGAAAAAGTATCATCTAGAAAAAAGCCGAAAAAGAGAGTCAAGCAGCACTCAAAGCGATCAACTCAGTAACCATCAATTCGAAGTTGGTCAACGAATGCCTGGAAAAGCTGAACAAATTCGGAAAAGAAAATAAGGTCTTCCTACTCTGGATGCTCGCTCACCAAGGGATAGAAGGCAATGAAAAAACAAACGATCTAGCTAGAAAAAGAGCGAACACTCCATTAATTGGACCAGAACCGTTCTGCTTTTCCAAGTGAAAACCAAGAACCTGGAAAACTCCATCCGTTACTTGGAACGGGAATCCTTCTAGACCGTTGGAGGAAACCGTTTCGAAACACTCGAAAAAATTTCTCAGAATTTACGACCGTGAAAAATCAAAGATTTTCCTTGATTTGGTAAGAACAATCCTCGAATTGTTACGAGGTTTCTAACAGGATAGTGTCTCCTCAACGAACATCTCAGTAGATTGAAGCTGAGAAACAACGGAGAATGTAGATTCTGTGGGGAAAATGGGGAAACACCAGAACACCTCATCACTGAGTGCGCCAGTACGGATGATGTCGGAGATGTAAAGCTGGCCTCAGAAGCCGTCTCTGCCGAAATTTATTATTTAAATTTATTAGAGCTAATTATCTGTGTATATGTTTTCGGCTGTAGGTTCTCCGACTTATAATTTGGCAAAATGGTTATCAAGGGAGTTCGAAAATTTCCCTAATCATGAACCTTCTTTCTCAGTTAAAAATAATATTGAATTCATTAACAAAATTAAAGATATAACATTGCATGAAGGTGAAATTTTGGTCTCCTTTGATGTACCTTCGTTGTTCCCAAGTGTTCCAATTGCACATACTTTACGCTACTTGAAGGAATTACTGAACGCAAATGGTCTCGACAACAAAACTGTGATTGAATATATTGAGCTTACATCGTTATGTATGAAACAAAATTGTTTTCAATTTAATAACAACTTTTTTGAACAGCGGGAAGGTACAGCAATGGGTAATCCATTGTCTCCATTTTTGGCTAATTTATTCATGAGCAGGTTTGAAGTGCAGGCTAAGAATCAGTTTGAGTATTTTCCAAGAGTATGGTTTAGGTATGTGGATGATATTTGTGTTGTTTTTGACACACATTCAGACACCATAGATAATTTTATTTCTAAGTTAAATAATCCTTTTCCTTCCATTAAATTTACGCATGAAATTGAGAACAACGACAGATTAACATTTCTAGATGTATTAGTTATTAGAAATACTAATAATTGCCTGGAATTTGATATCTATAGGAAAAATACCACCAAACGCAGATATATTCCTAATGAATCACATCATAGTGTTGAACATAAAATGGCTAGTTTAAATTTCTTAGTTCATAGGTTACTTAGTTTCCCACTTTCCAACGAAAGATATGAAATAGAAAGAGATTACATTAGGAATGTAGCTGAGTGTAATGGATATTCTCCTTCACTAGTTGATATATTAATTAGAAAACGTAGGTATAGGTTAATGATTTCTGAAAATTCGACTTTTCAAGTGGAGAAAGATACGTCTAAATATTTTTCAATACCGTTTGATAGAGAGTTATCCGTGGTCTAAAAGGGAATTTTTTTAAGAATGTCAATTATAAACTTGTGTATAGGGCTAATAATAAATTACAACAATTATTAGGTAATCAAAAGGATAAAACACCTCCACTGGAAAGGTCAGGTATTTATGAAATTTCTTGTAAAGATTGTAATCAGAAATATGTTGGGCAAACTAGAAGATCAATATTAACTAGATTTAAAGAACATTTTAGCTCAGATCAGATATGGTAGACCGGATAAATCTTGCGTTGCCGAACATATTGTTGATAAAGAACATTGTATAGATCTTAATAATTTAAAATTAATTAAACAAGTCTCAAATTACAGGCAATTAGATACATATGAAAGCATCAGAATTAATAAATGTAAAGATAGTATGAACAGAGTCAACGGTCCAATTCCTTCAAGTTCTTTGTTCCTACTACTCTAGTGGCGGAAATTAACTGTTACGCTCAGTGGGCTCTGACTCGGTTGGCTAGATTTTGCCAGGCCCACTCGGTACCTACTGGGCGAGTATATAAACGCTCAACTTGTAGATTGTACTTTAGGTTATAATCATCTGCTGATGATGCTAACATGGTTAGCGAAACGCGCGTCCAGTGTAAAAGTAAAAGTGTTTTGGTGTATTGTGGTGATTTAGTGTAATTTTATTTTGCTGTGTAACACCAAAGGTTCCAACCCTCAACTGTAATCTAATTATCTGTACCTTGAAGGTGGATTTATCGGGTGCAGGGCTGCTTTGTGGTGACTTTTTCGGGCTCTCCATGCTGGGCTTGGTCGGGGGACACCTCACAGGTGAGCCCTGGCTCACGTGGGGTGTCGATGGTACATCACTGAAACCAAAAAAAAATCGGTTATTTTTATAAGAGACACTGATTACTAAATAATTTCTTAAGGAGAAATGTTGGATATCAGGTTACAGACAGTAGAGTCAAAAGAATTAAACTTAGTTTATTAGCTCTACAAATTTCTTATTTTATTAGCTCTACTAGCTCAAAAATAGTTTTTGAGATAACCTGTAATTATATATTATTAATAACAAGAATAGGTCAGGTTAATTATTATGAAATTAATATGACCTATTCTCTATCTAACTGCCAAATGAATAAACTAATTTAATAGTGTAAATTATACAGGCAGATTTATTAAATCGATTTTTAATTGTTGAGAAAACGTTGTTTTAATTAATAATGACGTAGATAAGATTATTCCAAATATGTACCAGTATATAAAATTGAAGGGTCCAGGGAAAAAACTTGATAAGCTCCAATTTCTTAATTTTAGGATTTTATAATATTATAGTAGGTCTCACTGGTCCCTACAAAATGTATTAACTCTGCAGGGCAATAAGTTGTTAAATCCTATGATATATGCCCAGTAAAAATATAGAATACACGGAAAGAACCTGGTAACCACCGGCCGTCCAGTGCTCTCCTATAAAATTAGTAAAATGGCGCTTATCATGTTTTCCCCTGGACCCTTCAATTGTTATATTTGTAATATTGCAGTTCATGCTCAAGAGAATACATGGGTTAAATGGATAGGTGAGTTTAATAATAGAATAAAATAATAATAAATATCATAAAGTTTTACTATTTAACGTAAAATAGACATATGGCACATAAACACGACAAAATATATAAATATGTAGGTGTGTTGAATTAAAATGTATAAAATATTTTTTCCGTGATTATAAACATTAACATTTAATACACATATTTACACTGTGGGTCAAAAATATTTAACTGAATATGAACGAATAATTATGTACATATTTAGCTTTCTTCTATACAAACAATACCACAATGTTCTAAAGAAAAAATCCAGATATAAGAAAATTGTTATTTATACAGATAATATAACAGTTCTAAATAACTATGAATGTTCCGTTAAATAAAATGAAATAATACATAGGTACAATACATACGAAGAAAACACGCATTATACAGGGTTTTTCACGTACAGTTACTTTGAATGTTTCAAGATTCAAGACTATTTCCATGTATTCCTTATTTTTAAAATACGTTCAACTTTCTAACGCTTAAAAAATTGATGAATTGAGATATTTTAAATGTCTGTTCCTTTTTCCTTTTATTTTTGCTTCTGATGACTGGCGACGGTGGGAGATGTACCCCCTGAAAAGTTAAGCATCTTTTGTGGGATAGACAAATTTAATTAACGAGTAAAAAAAACACTGATAAGCTGGTTTCTTTTTAAGTTCTATGCAATAGCATTTTACAAAAAAAAATATTTTTTAGATTTCTGTTTCAATCAGTGGCGGCTCGTCGGGGTAGACCTCTGAGGCCGCGCCTTACCTTTAAAATAAAGAAATGATTTATTTTTTGTATCTAGATTTTTATTTAATTTAGGGGTAGTACATTTTGACCACAGAAACATGATTATTGAGATTCTTTCGCGAAAAAAATGATTTTTTTTTATTATTTAGTTAAAAAACATAATTTCTTAATAATATGGCAACATAGGCAGTAGATTAAATTTACAAGAAAGCAAACCCCAAAAAGATCCACCGGTTCTCAAAATTTAAGCAAAAAATCAGTTTTTTTGGAAATTTTCAAAATAAAATATGTAATTCGGTTATTTTGGACTTATTTGAAAAAAAGGCAAAGAGAAAATATGTTCTTTTATCGAGATCCAAGAACAGCTAACCTAATAGGACTGCTCATTCAGCCAAAAGTGTCCGCCAGGGGCATGCGAAAACTACTCGCTTTGTGACGTCATTGTAGTCCTTGTCATGGTTATTTAGTCCTTATCCGGCAACCAATAATACACACACGTGCATTATTAGCTGCCGAATGCAAAAAACGTTCATTATTTAGTTTATTTATTTAAACACCTTATATGTATGCTGTATAGAAAATTAACTGTATAAATCGTATTAAATACTCGGATAATGCATTTTTAAGAACAGCAGATCCCAACATCACCTTTAGCAAGCATTCTTTTAGAGTACTTCCATATCTTGCTTTAAATAATTAATAAACAATATCGTAGGCACTTAGTAAGCACTTTGTCACAATCCACAACACAAAATATGAACGTATGTACACACTCTATAGCTCTAAAAACTTTAAAGACACCTTTTTCACATTTAAAATTGACAAAATAATTAATTCAAAATTTCTCAGCTGTTATTTTTATAAGTTTACCATAGGGCAACTAATAATACACACTATCATGACAAGGACTACAATGACGTCACAACTGTCAGCTGAAGCACGGGAAGAGGCGAACGTACGTCTTATGAGGATGAGCAATCTATTAGTTTACCGTTCTTGATCGAGATCTACCAGCCCTGAAAATATTTGCACATATTTAAGACTCACCCTGTATAATGTTCGCATACATACTTCTTGAAAATAATATAAATACGGTAATAGCAAAACATTTTCCGATGCACGTCATCATCAATCATATCGAAATTGACAGTAAAGCTTATAAACCTGACAAAATGAAATTTTGGCAAAATGTTTAAATTTGTTGTATAATTTAAGATACCGAGCAGCTCTTCATTTTATTTTATATAGGAAATTATTATAACAGATATTTTATTTAGATTAAAGCTGCAAAATTTAGTTTAAAGCGATTTTTATTATCGCCATGTTGGTCACATTGCGCCGCGATCAGCAACGTTGTCGTTTATTATTTGACAATTATCATAATGTCAGTCATTTTTTTGTATAATATCGGGTTTTTTTTGAATCTTTGGGGGTAATTCTCGTTTTCTGCCGATTTTCATAGTCGTTCTTCTTAATAAACAGTTCTTTTAAGAACTAAATTTTCGAGTTTTTGTATTGAATTTCTTGAAATTTATGTGTTGAAAAATATGCTCAAGTATTTAAACAGTCGAAGCAAAGAGCTTGAGTGACTAATGTTAATAAATTAATTAATTACTAAAACATTCATTATTAAATTATAAATAAACGTAAAATCTTTAAAAAATTATATAATAAATATACAGGGTTGTTCACCACACACGACACGAGGTATTGTAGCTAAACGATTACATTTTACAAATTGTAAGTTTTGGGTTCGATGAATGACTATCAGAGTACAATTTAAAAATAATTTTGTAAGATACAGAGTGTCCCCAAATAAGTAAAAAATATCAAAGTTGTATTTTTTATATGGAACACCCTGTATATTATTACATTTTAGTTTCTACTATTAAAATAAAGGTAAATTTGATTAAGGTTTATTATACTTAAACCTTACCGTTTTTGAAGTATTTTCAATTTTGTGAAATTGCAGTAAAAATTTTTAAGGCTTCATTTCTCCAAGGGTATCAAAGTTTTTAATACTAAATATTTACTGAAGTTTATTTATTGATCAGTTATGGTCTTGCAATAATAAAAAATAATACTACTTATACAGAGTGTCTAAAATGTATTTTAAATAATTTCTAGCTTTAACCGCCAATAACTTCTTTAATTTAAATGGAACGCCCTGTATATTTTAGGAGAATCAGATGCAAAATTTAATTGTCTATCAAATTGTATTATACCATCTTTTACCTATCCCTTCAAGTTTTCGTAGAAAATGCATTTTCTGATAATTTAGACCTCATTTATCAATATACCCATGGAATATTGACATTTTAGATTGTTTTTAAAGCAACAAATGTACAAAATGTACAGGCTAGTAATATTATCGTTTTTAGCAAAACGATAATATTACTAGCCCATTTGTATGCTAAAAAGGAAACTATTAAATCTTTATAAAAGAATATACCATTAATTAAATATAACACCATTATTTCGGTCCATATATCTAATTAATTACATACTTAATTGTGTTCGTTAATAAATTATGCTAAATAAATGTGGATTTGAGTCAGAAATCAATATAATAATAAGTTATCAAAATGAACGTCTCTGTTGTTATAAATAAGCATTTATTAAAAAATTAAATATCATTTTTTAAAGGTGTTACTTTTTTACCACACATTGTCTAATACACATACAAAACTCAGTTTTTTAGTATTTGGGGCAATTATTATTAATCAACGTAAACAGTCAGTTAATGTAGTTTTGAATACTGGAATCATATTAATTGGTCCTCTTTAACAAATATTTAAACAGTTTTTTTTTTTAATGAAATAAACGAATTATATCGACAATATTAGTATCTGTGCTCTTTAAAAATTGGTACAAAAATAATCTAAAATGTCAATATTCCATGGGTATATTGATAAATAGTTCTAAATTACAAGAAAATGCATTTTCTACGGAAACTTAAAGAGATAGGTAAAAATGGTATAATACAATTTGATAGACAATTAAAGTGTGCATCTGATTCTCATAAAATATACAGTGTGTTCCATTTAAATTCGCTAAACAAGTTATTGCCGTTTAAAAGCTAATAATTATTTAAAATAAATTTTTAGACACTCTGTATAAGGTATTATTTTATTATTGCAACACAATAACTGATCAATAAATAAACTTCAGTAAATATTTAGTATTAAAAAACTTTGATACCCTTTGGAAAATTAGCCTTAAAATTTTACTGCAATTTCACAAAATTGAATATATTTCAAAAACGGTAGGGTTTAAGTATAGTAAACCTTAATCAAATTTATCTTTATTTTAATCGTAGAAACTAAAATGTAATAATACAGAGGGTGTTCCATATAAAAAAATACAACTTTGATATTTTTTTTACTTATTTGGGACACGCTGTATCTTCTAAAATTATTTTTAAATTGTACCTCTAATAGTCCTTTATCAACCCAAATCTTACAATTTGTAAAAAATCTCATCGTTTAGCTACAAATACTCCGTGTCGTATGTGGTGGACAACCCTGTATAGGAGG